GAGGTTGCTGTGAGCTGTAATGCCATGGCACTCTACCCAGGGTGACAGCTTGAGGCTCTGTCTCAAAAAAAAAAAAAAAAAAACCTTTTGTTTTAGTTAAGATGCCTATACATATTCAGTGTTCATTTCATTTTAAAGAAAAATATATAAAAATAGTCCCTGAGATCTTGTTCGTTTAACTCTGTATTTTTCACAGCTTCTTATGCATAGAAGGAACTTACAGTTTATTGAATGTTTTAATTGCATGGAGTTCAAGGTAAATCCTTTTTATTTTGAGGAGGGAAATTTGGGTTCAAGTGGATATTGATCATATATCACTTTGATTTCCTTTGTAGGATTTTAAACTTGACTTTGGCAATTCCCAAGGCAAAACAAGTGAAACTTGGCATGGAGGTATAGCCACCATTTTTCAAAGTCCTGGCGATGAAGTGTGGGGAGTAGTATGGAAAATGAACAAAAGCAATTTAAATTCTCTGGATGAGTAGGTGGCTTCTAATTATAAGTTAAAAAATAACTAATTCAGAAAGTGAGTTAGATGTAAGGATGTGTGTATGTGTGTTAGTTTTTCAAAACTGTATACTACAAGCATACAAGTCAACATAAAAGGTATAATCCCGTGAGTTTGCTTAAAAAGTCTACAAAGGTCACACTCTGATTTGAGAGGATGTTTGTAATCTCCTATGTAAAAGATTGAAGTGCTAATTTTTGTTCTATTTGTCTTTTATAAAAATTTCTCTATAGTTTCATATTGTGAAAGGCATGAAGATTTTTATAATTGCTGCATATTTTTATTGATTTCAAAAGCACAGTTATTTAAAGATGGCAATTGAATCAGTAGATAAGTAATAATAATATGCAAAAGCATTTAATAACATATTAGAGATACCTGAATACTTTTTATAACTAGAACTCCCAGAGTTGCGTGGCAGAGTATTTCCTACAAAGAAAGTGGGCAGAAAAGAGTAGGCAGATTATCTGGCATGCCTGATACTTTTACGTCACTTGTGAATGGAATGAACTGTCCTCTCCATGTACTCTGGTGGATGTTCACTTGCAGTTAGAATACATGGTCCATTTTTGGAGCCTGAAGAGCAATGTTTCAGTGATATAAAAATGGAACTACACAGAAGTATGTTTTCAGACAGTGTTAGAAATATGGCAAGTAACATTAAGTCTCAGACTTGCTAATTGAAATGCTAAACTTATATCCTCAAATACAAAGGGAATAAGTATGTCCATGTATAGTTCCATTTTTAATCCTATACTTCCTTTACTTGACTAAAAGACCTTGTCCAATAAACTAATAGGGTCAAATATGGTTAAAATTTGGCTATTCTGGTTTCAGGCAAGAAGGGGTTAAAAGTGGAATATATGTTGTAATAGAAGTTAAAGTTTTAACTCAAGAAGGGAGAACAATAACCTGTCGAAGTTATCTGATGACAAATTATAAGCGTGCTCCCCCATCACCACAGTATAAAAAGGTAACTATTTACAGAGAATTTCAGTGATTATTTTTTATTATAATTTTCACCAAGATAAGATAGTGTGTTGCTTTTTAAAAGGCTTTTTGTGTTTTAAATTCCACATGACAAAATCATTTTAATCAAAATGTTTTCGAATACAAGAACAATAGTTATTTACCTAAAGTACAAATTAAAAAAAATTGTTCCAATTTATGTATAATGATAGAAGTATATTTATGTAACTTTATTTAAAAAAGAAACTTTTAGAGGCTGGGCACAGTGGCTCACACCTGTAATCCCAATATTTTGGGAGGCCAAGGTAGGAGGATTGCTTGAACCAGAGGTTCAAGGTTACAGTGAGATATTATCACATCACTGTGATACTCCAGCCTGGGCAACAGAGTTAGACCCTGTCTCTTAAAAAAAATAATAATAATAATTTAATTTAAAAAAAGCTTTTAGAAACTTATAGGAGTCCAAATTCTAGACATGTACTTTGTTTCTTCCAGCAGAAAAGAACACATGTAAGTATATGTTTAATAGATTTAGTCTATACATATAGGTTTGTAATGTTTTCTTTCTCCACAGACCTATTTGATGAATATCAAAATTCATTTTTATGGGAAGGAAATATGTTCCCTACTACTGAAATGTTTTCCATCCCTAGATGAAGAAAGAAAAGTCACACTGCCTTTCAGAATCAGGGAGACCACTCCTGTAAGGACAAGACAAAGTTGTGAGATAGGGACTCCAATATCTCTTCTTAGAAATCCAAACTTAGGTACTTGTTGTCAGGTTTAATCAGCACATGACATCTGTAGTGGATAACCCAGTCTCTGAGCCTAATCTAGAACTTTCTAGTATCAAGCCTAGAGAAATTAGCCTGGGACGGGCCTAGAAAGTGCCATTTGAACACAGTTCCCATATACTCCTGATGTGAGTCTTAATTCAGAGCAGGAGTAGAATCTGGGATTGAAAACAAAACTGTTCCTATAAACTTTAATTTTTTTTTGAAGAATGATTTTGTTTTAAAAAAGGTACAAATTTTATATGAGATATATTTTTATCTTTAATAATGTTGAAAATCATATTATTGAATAATCCATGAGGATGCTACTACATGTAACTTTGAAAACTCTGAGCATTCATGCTCAGCCTGAGAGGAATGACTCTATCTATTATTTCGTTCTATAATTATTTATTCTAGAGTTATCTGAAAGCTAATACTTCATACTCTGATGAAATAAAGTTGTGGTATACTAAATTAAATTATGTTCCTAATAGGTTTTCTTAAATTTGTTTTATCCATTTCTAGGTTATTTGCATGGGCGCAGAAGAAAATGGTTTGCCACTGGAATATCAAGAGAAGTTAAAAGCAATAGAACCAAATAACTATAAAGGAAAGGTCTCAGAAGAAATAGAAGATATTATCAAAAAGGGGGAAACACAAACTCATTAGAACATAACAATTCAATAAGGATATTCTCTCTCTCTGTGCTAACATAAAATATTTTTAACATTCGAGACCAGGGATCTGGGATATGTCCATGTTTCATCGATTTTCATCAGTTCTCTGAAGGGCTATCTCACTTGCGTGATTCCTTGTTTTCAGACTATAAAAGGAAATTGGTTTAGGAGTTAGACAATAAAAAAGGGCCCTATGAAACCCTGGAGTGCATGACAAATGGATGTGGGTACACTTTCTGTAAACACAAAAGCTATTTTCTTGAGTTGATCTTAAGTGTCTTCTTGTGTGGCAAAGGGCAGAGTTGCAGCTTGCTTGATGATGGTACTGGTGAATTCTGCTCTACCCGGGAATTTTTTTTAATCATCTTCATAAGAGTAAGCAAACTGCAGAGTTGGTTGGAAAGATTATACACACTATTTTTAGAGGAATAAATGTACTTGTGGTGTAACCTGTTTTTTCCTACTAAAGTACTCCATTTCATTATGTTGTTAGACTCAAATCATTACACATACAGGGTTTCGTCTTGGCCAGATAGGGTCTATACTAGAGTAGTATTAGACAGACTCTAGAGGCAGATAGCCTACCACTTTCTATCTGTGAGACTTTGGGTTATTTGTTTCTCTGTGCCTGAGTTATCTTACCTGTAGAGTAAGGATAATTAAAACACATATCTTAAGATTGTTTTGAAGAAGAGATGAATAGGGCCAGGAATGGTAGCTCATGCCTACCATCCTAGCATTCTGGGAGACCAAGGCCAGGAGGGTTGCTTGAGCTCAGGAGTTCGAGACCAGCCTGAGCAAGAGCAAGACCCATCTTTACTAAAAGTAGAAAAATTAGCCAGGCATTGTGGTGCACCTGTAGTTCCTACTACTCAGAAGTCTCAGGCAGGAAGATCATTTGAACCCAAGAGTTTGAGGTTGCAGTGAACTACAATGACACTCCTGTACTCTACCCAGGGCAATAAAGCAAGACTGTGTCTCAAAAAATAGAACACAGATAAATAAATAGATACATTGAGTTTAGAATGGAATGGGCAGATAGTATTAGCAATCATTGTTTTAATGAAAAATTAAGTTTATACAAAGCCATCCTTTCACTAGGCTTTGAAAACTCTGAGCATTCATGCTGAGTGTGAGAGTAATGACTGTATTCATAATTTGAATCAAAGGAATTCAATTATGAAGGGAAAATTTGGGGAGTACAGCTAAGGTTTGATTGTTGGCTTATCAAGAAGTGGTGGCCTTAAACTTATTTACTGAATAAATGAAGGAAAGAAGTCAGGAAGAAAGCATTATTGGTTATCAAATTCTCTTATGTCTCTGGAAAGCAGTCATCTGTACCCTCCAGACTGGAATGAGAGTTAACTAGCTACAGGAGCATAAAATAAAAATTTGTTTTGTTCTTTTGGGAAAAGTGACAAAAGGAGTTTGGAAGCTACAGTTGCAATTCTGCAGTGAGGCTGAACCATAGACCACAGCGGTCATAACTCACTAGTTCCTGTATACCCTCTAATCTAGTTTTCTCCTAGTTAAATCCTCCCAAGAAAGACTGAGTTCATTACGTCTTTCTAGAACCCACATGTTAATACACTGAGCAAGGCTCAGTTTTGGTATAGGAACTAAGAATGGAATATTATTCTACTTGCTTACCTAAAATGACAACTTTTAAGGAATTTAAAATGCTAACAATAAAAATCTTCCTTCTGGGGCGGCACCTATGGCTCAAAGGAGTAGGGTGCCGGTCCCATATGCCAGAGGTGGTGGTTTCAAACCCAGCCTGGCCAAAAACTGCAAAAAAAAAAAATCTTCATTCTGTCCTTTTAACAAAAATCTGATAATCATAAAGAATACTGTTTTTCTAGTTTGCAAGGTAATACTTGAAGTACAGGTATCACATGTAATGGAGTTCCCTTTCTACCAGTGATGTTGGCCCTCTAAAGCACAATACCACCAGATCGTGGATAAACTATAACAACTTTTGAAAAGCATTTCTGGACTAGCAAGAAAATGAAGAAAATTGGCTGGGTGTGGGCGGCACCTGTGGCTCAGTGAGTAGGGCGCTGGCCCCATATACCGAGGGTGGCGGGTTCAAACCCGGCCTCAGCCAAACTGCAAAAAAAATAGTTGGGCATTGTGGTAGACACCTGTAGTCCCAGTTACTCGGGAGGCTGAGGCAAGAGAATCACCTAGGCCCGGAGTTGGAGGTTGCTGTGAGCTGTGACGTCACAGCACTCTACTAAGGGCAATAAAGTGAGATTCTGTCTCTTTAAAAAAAAAAAAGTAAAGAGAAAATTGACTGGGTATGATGGCTCACACTTATAATCCTAGCATTCTGGGAGGCCAAGGTGGAAGCATCCCTTGAGCTCAGGAGTTTAAGCCTGAGCAAGGGTGAGACCCTGTCTCTACTAAAAATAGAAAAATTAGCTGGGCAACTGTAGTCTCAGCTAGTTGGGAGGCTGAGGCAGGAGGATAGCTGGAGCCTGGGAATTCGAGGTTGCTGTGAGGTAGGCTGATGCCAGGGCACTCTAGCCTGGGGCAACAGAGTGAAACTCTCTCTTGAAAAAAAAAGAAAAAATCTTTGAGGTAAACCAACCAATCCTTCCCCCATGAAAAGAAAGAAGGAAGATGAACTGTGAGGTGAAAGGGTGAACAGTACTGGTAAATAAGTCTTTGGGTACAAATGCCAATAATGGCCTTTGGATTAGGTACTAACCCTGAAACCTCCTGCTAAAGGTCAGGAAAACTGAACCTGGGAATTCTGAATGAAGTCAGGAGCCTTGAAGAGGAGTAAAATGGCCCCCAGTTGGTAGCCCAGTGGCTCCCAGTGGAAACAAAAGCAAATCCTGGAGATGGAAATCCTAATTTAGGTCCTCAGGATTTCCCTTAAAAATTTAAAAGAGAATGAGGAAGATAATGTATCGTGAATGAGAACAACAACGACAAAAAAAACAGATTCAGTACATCTCAGGAAGGTGCATAAAAACAAGTTAAAACAAGTCTAGGTCGTACAGTTTTAAGATATTGAAATTAATATAAAAGTATAAAATAAACATGTATGGCAGCTTTAACTACTGTAAAGATGGAGTAGACGTGCATTTCCCTATTCCTCTAGTTAAGTACAACTAAAATCCAAGAAAACTAAAAGGTAGAGTGAGGACAGACCAGCCCAGGAGTTAGCACTGAAGGCTCAAAATGGCGTTGAATTCCCTGGGTTTTCTTCTGCCTCATAAATCTCATATTTGGAGCTGAAGAAGCCAGCAACTTGAAAGCAGCAGTCAGCACAGATAGAAATACACAAAACAAGAAAAGCCTTCTTTCTCTAGTCAAAGGGCCAGTCTAGCAAGACCAAAACCTTTTAAATAAACACCGTACTCCAGTTTCACCACAGAATAAAATTGTGGACCCTTGCTTCCTCTTAGCCCGCAGAGGCCAAGCGGGGAGCCTGGACTCTCACACTCACCCGGTTGTAAGGAAGCCCCCTAAACCCCACCAACACCAGTCTCTGAAAAGGCAGAGTAGGGCGCCTCCTGGGAGTAACAAGCCGTCTTCCCTCAGGCTGTCATGAAAATTACCTTGGGAGCCTGGACTTAACCTCATCTTGCAGTAATGGTGCCCTTTGCCCTCCCCTCCCTACTGGGGTGGTACCAGAGGCTAAGTGGAGCATCAGGACTTTCACTACCTCCTTGTGGTAACCAAGTCATCCCTTCCTGTGGTATCGGTAGAGGCAACATGGGGACCAGTTACAAGGCACTTCTCCTACTAGCCAAGGAGGTGTCAGTGGAGGACTAATGAGGAACTATAACTCTTACCCCACGCCCTGCCTTCAGCAGTAAAAAGGTGCCCCCTCCCCCTTGGGTGACAACAGAGACTGCATGGGGAACCTGAACTTCTTCACCTACGTAGCAATATTTTGGCAGTGCTTCTCACCTTCCCCTGCTAAAGCGGTTTCAGAGTAAGCTAAAATAGAATAGACAAATAAGATTTAGAGCCTCATAATCTCCAAAACCTTCAAATTTCACTTGCAAAGCACCCATTCCAAGAACCAGAAGAATCTCAAACTATATGGAAAAAGATAATCAATAGATGTCAAAACTGAGATGACAGATATACACATATTAGGGTTATCTGACAAGGTTTTTAAAGCAGCCATCATAAAAATGCTTCATTAAGCAATTTGTTTTAATGCTTGAAACAAATGAAAATATGGAAAGTCTCAGGAAGGAAATAGAAGATATAAAGAACCAAATGGGAATTTTCGAATTGAAAAATACAATAACTGAAATTAAAGACATAATGAATGGTCTCAACAGAATGGAGGGGACAGAGGAAAGAATCAGTGAACTAGAAGACAGAATAACAGAAATCACTCAATCTGAACAAAAGAGAGAAAATAGACTTGAGAAAAAAAACTAACAAAAGATCAAACACTTGTGTCACCAGAGTCTCAGGAAGAGAGGAGAAAGGGCAGGTTGAAGTGAATAACATCAGAAATTTGCAAAAGTCATAAGCCTACAGATTCAAGAAACAGCCAGTTCCAAACATGAAGAAATCCACACCAAGACACATGACGAACTTCTGAAAACTAAGGACAAAGAAAAATTCTTGAGAGCAGTGAGAAATGACTCCTTACCTCTCAGAGAAAAACACTTGAACCAAGGACACATCAGAACTCACGGAGGCCTGAAAGAAATGGCAATTTCTTAAGTGCTGAAAGAAAATAACTCAATTTAGAATCTCTAGAAAGCCTTTGAGAATGAAGGGGAAATCAAGACATTCTCAGATGAAGGAGAACAAAGAAAGTGTGTTGCCAGCAGCCATACTCTAAAACAATGGCAGAAGGGAGTTGCTTAAACAGAAAGGAAATGATGAAAATAGGAATCTGAGAATATCAGAAAGGAAAAAAATCTAAACAAAAATATGAGTAAATATAATAGATGTTCTTTCTCTTGCATTTCCTTAATTATATTTGATTGTTGGAGCAGAAATTATAACACTGCCTGATCTGGTTCTCAATATATGAAAGGCAATATTTAAAATAGTTACAAAAAGAGTGAAGAAAGGGAAGGTTTCTACACTTTATTTGAACTGGTAAATGATGACTCCAGTAGACTGCACAATTATGTATATATGGTATATAGTTCCTAGAGCAACCACTTAAAAAGGCATACAAGAGATACACTCAAAAACACTGCAAATAAATCAAAATAGAATTCAAAAAATGTTCAAGTAACCCACAGGAAGGCAAGAAAAAGGAAACCGAAATAAAAAACAGGAAATGAAAGTGCAGTGGTAGAGCCCTAACATATCAATATTAATTAGATATAAATGACTAAAATACACAAACTGAAAAAAATGAGTAGACTAAAACATGATCTAACTTTATGCTGTCCTCAAGAAACTTATTTGAACTGTACTATCGTTAGCAGTTTGAAAGTAAAATGGTGGTTAAAGGTTTGTGATGCAATCAAAGTGAAAAACAGACAACTATATTAATACCAGATAAATTAGATTTCAAAACAAAGAAAATTACCAGAGACAGAGAAGAACATCATTTTGTGAAGAAAGTATTACCTAATACAAAAATCAGACAAAGAGGGCGGTGCCTGTGGCTCAGTGAGTAGGACGCCGGCCCCATATACCAAGGGTGGCAGGTTCAAACCCAGCCCCGGCCAAACTGCAACAAAAAAATAGCTGCGCGTTGTGGTGAGTGCCTGTAGTCCCAGCTACTTGGGAGGCTAAGGCAGGAGAATCGCCTAAGCCCAGGAGTTGGAGGTTGCTGTGAGCTGAGACTCTGTCTCTTAAAAAAAAAAAAAAAAGAAAAAGAAAATAAACAAACAAACATACAAACCAATGTCACTCATTAATATAGATTCAAAAATCCTTAACGAGTTGTTAGTAAAGAATTCAGCAGGACATACAAAGAAGTACACTCTATGATTATCACATGGAGCTCGTTCCAGAATAGTAATGCTGATTTCAGTACTTGAAAATCAAAGTAAGCCACTGAATTACGCTAAAGAAAAAAAATTATATGATCCTATCAATTGATGTAGAAGAAACACTTGGCACAATTCACCCATTCACAATGAAAGTTCTCAGAAAAATAGGAATAGAGGGCAACCTCAACAACTTGATTGAGTTACCTACAGCTAAAATTATACTTAGTAGTAAAAAACTGAATGTTTCTGGCCTGATATTGGGAACAAGGCCAGGATGGTCTGCTTTCACCAATCTTATTCAGCATAGAACTGGAAGTTCCAACTAGCACCATAAAACAAGAGAATAAAATATACATAAATCCTAAAAGAATAAATAAAATCATCGCTATATACAAATGACATGATAATGTAGAAAACCCCAAAGAATATACAAAAGAGCTCTCCTAGAACCACTAAGCTAACCAGCAGGGTCATAGACTACAACAGAAACATACAAAAATCATTCCTATATACTAGAAATGGACACTGAAACTAAAAATACAATACTATTTACAATTGCTTCTTTTAACTGTAAATTTATTTATGAAATAAAATTCACATAATAAAATTAGCCATTTTAAAGTGAACAACATGAGTGGCATTTAATATCTTCACAATATGTGCAGCCACCTCTTCTACGCCAAAATTTTCATCACCCAAGGAAAACCACATACCTATTAAGCAGTTACTGTTCATTTTCTATCTCCCCCAGACCCTGGCACCACCATTCTGCTGTCTATATGGATTTCAGTGTTCTAGATATTTAAGATAAATGGAACAATAGCATATGTGATCCTTTGTATTACTTCTCTCAATATAATGTCTTCAAAGTTCATCCACACTGTAGCATATATTAGCATCCTTTTTAAGGTTGAATAATTTTCTATCATATGAATATACCACAATTTGTTTACCCATTCAACCACTGATGGACATTTGGGATATTTCCATTCTTCGGCCATTATCAACAGGGTTAGTATAAACATTTGTGTACGTATGTTTGAGTTCCTCATTTCATTTATTATGATGACATACCCTGCTCAAATGGCAATTCTATATTTCACTTTTTAAGGAATACCCAAACTGTTCCCCATATTGGTTGACTCATTTAACATTCCTATCAGTAATATCTGCAATCACTTTAACAGAAAAAAGGAAATATTTAAGTGTAACTTTTATAAAACGTGTGCCAGGCTTGTTGCCATGACTTTGCTGACAACTACAAGAAAAAAAAAGAAATACTTAAGTGTAACTTTTATAAAACATGTGCCAGACTTGTATGCTGACAACTACAAAACACTAATGAAAGAAATAAAAGAAAATCTAAATAGAAATAAATGGAAAAGCATACAATGCTCATGAATTGGAAGTCTCAACGTAGTGAAATTGTAAATTCTCCCTTAAGCTGATACATATGTTTCACAAAATTTCTATCAAAATCCCGACACGATTATTTTTCTAAAATTCAAATGGAAAGTCAAGGAAAGTAGAATAGGTAAAACAATTTTTAAAAAGAATAAAATGAGACGAATCACTCTAGCTAATTTTAAGGCTGTGAATTATTGAAAGGGATAAATACATAGATTAAAGAATGGAACAGAAAACCTAGAATAAACCAATATAAATATACCCAACCGATTTTTGGCACAGATGCAAAAGTAGTTTAACAGGGGAAAGATAGCCCTTTCAATGAATGGTGTCAAAGCAGCTATTGGACATCCATAGGCAAAAGAAAAAGAAAAGAAAAAAAATAACCTAAATATCACATCTTAGATAAAAATTACCTCAAAGTGGATCATGGGCTTAAATGTCTGACCTAAAAGTATAAGAGTTTTAGGTTAAAAAGAAAAAATACGGTCAGGTCAGGTGCAGTGGCTCACGCCTTTAATCCTAACACTCCAGGAGGCTGAGGCAGGACAATTGCTTAAGTACAGGAGTTCTAGGCCAGTCTGAACTAAAGCAAGACCCTATCTCTACTAGATATAGAAAAATTAGCTGTGTGTCATGGTGTGTGCCTGTAGTCTCTGCTACTTGGGAGGCTGAGGCAGGATGAGCACTTGAACCCAAGAGTTTGAAGTGGCAGTGAGCTATAATGACACCACTGCATTCTACCCACCGTGACAGAGTAAGACTCTGTCTAAAAAAAAAGAAAGAAAAGAAAGTGAAAAAGAAGAAAAAGGAAAAAAAAAAAAGGAAAGAGAGGGGAAGAAAAAAGGAAAGAGAAAAAAAAACATAATAAGCATGGTCCATAAAATGAAAAAATGATAAATTGGACTTCATCAAAATTGAAAACCTTTGCTATGGGAAAGATCCTAATAAAAGAATGAAAGGGCAAGCCAGGAGTGGAAGAAAATATTTGCAAACCAAATATAGAACTCAAAAAGTCAACAACTAAAAAGCAAACAATTCAATTAGAAAAATAGAGAAGATGCATGAAGTATATTTCACTCTAGAGGAGATATAGATGGCAAATATGCACATGGAATAATATATCACTGGCACTATACATCTATCAAAATTGCTAAAATAAAAAATTGTGACAGGATCAAGAAACTGGATTACTCATACATTACTAATGGCAGTGTAAAATGGTACAGTCACTCTGGAAATTAGTTTGCTAATTTCTTAAGAAACTGAACCAGCAGTTGCACTCCTGGAAATGTATGTCAGGGAAATGAAAACTTATGTCCAAACATAAACTTATCCATGAATATCTATAACAACTTTATTTATCAGAGCCCCAAACTGGAAACAACCCAGATGCCCTTCAACACGTGAATGCTTAAACAAACCGTAATAATCCATACCATGCAATACTACTTAGCAATAAAGAGGAAAGATCTACTGATACATGCAACAGTCTGAATGAATCTTCAGAGAATTAAGCTGAATGAAAAAAAAATCTATCCTAAAAGGTGACATAATGTTTGATTCTATTTGTATAACATTCTTGAAATGACAAAATTGTAGAAATGGATAACAGATTAGTGGTTGTCAGGAGGGGGTAAGGTGCTAAAAAGGGCAGCATGAGGGATCTTTGTGGTGATGGAGACAGTTTGTACCTTGACTGTACTAATGTTCACGTCTTGCTTGTAATATTATACTATAGCTTTGTAAGATGTTACCATTGGGGAAAATTGGATTAAGGGTACATGGATCTCTCTGCATTATTTCTTATAACCGCATGTGAATTTACAGTGATGTCAAAATAAAAACTTTAAAAACAAACCCAAAATAACTGTACATGAAACATTTTATAAATGATGGAATCAGCAAAGATCAGGGGACTATTTAAAATGACCAAAGAAAAAAACTCCAACTAATAGAACCCCCCAAATCTGAACATAATATTGTTAAAATAGATTGATATATTAGTTTCCCATCATTGCTATAAAAAATTATTAAGCATTTAGTGTTCTAAAACAACACAAATGTATTATCTTATAGTTCTGGAGATCAAAATAGGTCTCACTGGGCTAAAATCAAAGTGCCAGCTGGACTGCATTCCTTCTGCAAGGCCTACAGGGGAGTCCGTCTCCTCGCCTTTTCTCACTTGTAGAAGCCACCTGCATTCGGTGGCTTATAGCCCCACTCCTCCATCTTCAAAGGCAGCAGCATAGACATTCTCAGGCTGCCATCTCTGTCTTCCACTTGTAAGAGCCCTTGTGATTACCAGCCCACCTCAATAATCCAGGATAATTTCCCCATCTCAAGATCAGCTAATTAGCAATTTCAATTTCATCTGTAACCTTAGTTCCCCTTTGCCATGTTCACAGATTGCAGGTGTAGGACATGGACATCATTGTGGGGTGGCTATTTTGCCTGGCATGGATGGCTTAAAAAACAAATTAACTATCTACAAAATAATCTGTGGAAAGACAGAAATGCAGCCAGAAAAACAGGATATGGAAAATATAAATGGGTGGTTAAAAGATCTGGAAGATAAAGTTCAGGATCTTAGAGGAAAAGACAAAAAAAGGTTAAATTTTTATCCTAGAGGTTCATATAAGGCTAAACGGGAGGAATTAATATCCCCTAGTTCCTTGTGGTGCTTACAATGCCCATTGTGTTCTCCTCAGTTTTATGTTTGCAAAGTTTCAGTTTTGAATTAAGAACATAACTTTCCTTTTCTCTATCTTGATGAGTATTTTAATATTCATGAGTATTAGTGGTCATATGATTAAAAGTACTTTAGTGTGAATAACTGACAACCTTTTGTAGCACTGCCAACATTATGTGGAACTTCCCCATTTAAAACGTTTAAAAAATATTTCATTGGGGAAATTTGTTACCATGTTAAAAACTCCTTTGCAAGTCTTTATAGAATATGTATAGAATATAAAATGTACACTGCCAAGGACAGATTTATGGACACGAATAAGCTTAGATTTGTTAAAGGCATAATTTGAAATATATGCTCTGTTTTCAAAAGGGGGGTTTCATCAGGACCACGTGTCACGTTTTTACAAGTTTTACCATTATTTCCGGGCGCGTGGGCTCTGGTTGTAGGTGCTGGGCTGGCACTTTTAGGGGAACTGACTTGCCTGGCTCGCAGAGGCCGTGTCAGAATTGGCACGACGGGTTCCCAAGGGTGTCACCCCTGGACGAACTCACGGCCTGCCCATTCGCCCCTGCGCGGTGGCACTGGCCGCTCGTTCTCCAGCACAGAGAGCAGCTTGCGGATGCAGAGGGCAACTTTCTGCGAGCCCAGTCTCCCGGCTTCCCGCGCACTAGCCGGGTAAGACGCGGCACAGCCGGACCCTGCCTCGTCCGCCCCGCCCGACCTTGGCCTTTCCCAGAAGCGGCAGGCTCGGGGCGCGGCCAGAGTTCCCGTTCCGGGCCCGGGAGGCGGCCGCTCTGGCCCTGTCCCGGGCGCAGTGGCGGGAGCAGAGCCCTCCCCGGCCACAGTGCTCCCTGACCTGACTCTCGCTCTCGCTTCTAGCTACTGCGAAGCCTGCAGGCCTGGCGCCCAAGTAAGTCCTAGAGACTGAGCGGGTGGGGGACCGCGCGGGGCTGACACGGTCGGGGTCCCGGGCGCTGCAAGCCCGCGCGGAGGTGCAGGGAGGCGGGATCTGCGCGCGGGCGGAACGCAGCTCTGCTCTGGAAGAGTGGGACAAGGAGAGCCCTGGCAGTGTGAGGAATGCGGCCAAAGTTCAGAGCGTCAGCGGGATCGTTTTTCCCACAGTGGTCTAAAGCCAGGGTTCTCAATCCTCCAGCACCCTAGAACCATCTGGGGAGCTTTTAAAATCCAGATGCACATGCTGCAACCCAGATCAATTCCGTCGAAATCTCTAGAGGTAGGACCCAGACCCCCGCATCATTTAAAACTTTCCCATCTGATTCCAGTGTGTAGCCAGGGTTGGGGACCAGTGACCAAAAGGTGACTGCCACAGGAAGGTGAAGGAAGGACAAGGACGGCCAGCTGCTTCGAGTGTCCTGCGTGGTCCTGGAGACCAGGAAAGAACTTCCCTTGGGTTTCATGGGCCACAAAGTAGACAGATAAGATGATGCCTAGCGGGGTCGCTGAATGTCATATTCACAAAAGCCCCTGTGTGCAGTCTTTTGGCGTATTGTAAAAAACATTATTAAATGACAAATTATGTTGCCCCATTGTTTCTGCATTCTGAGAAATGACTCAATGGATCGGTATTTGAAATTAAGCCTGAGGAAGCCAGGAAACCCATGGCCTTGATGACTCCTGGGCTTTCTGTTTTAAGGATGAACCCGGACACTGTGCTGGTCAGAGGGTGGGGTTTGTTCTCCCTAAAAGTCCTGTTTGAGGTTTGCCTGTCATGTTCAGGCAACAGTAACTCCACCATGTCGTCAGAGAGCAGTGGCTTTCTTGTAGTCACCCTGGGGTACCTGCTAAGGGGAGGTAGTACTACAGCTGTGGACAAGGGACAGATGTCCACTGCATATGCTGGACAGATAAGCAAGGCATATTTAAAACACACAGCAAAGAGGTGGGAAGAGGGAGTCTTTCAAAAGTTCCAAGAAATGTAGGTTTTATTTCTGTGGAATGGAGAAATAAGCTCAAGCTTTGGAGCCTGTCAAACTTGGATGTAAGTTCAGATACTGTCACTTCCAATATATGGTTTGGGCAAGTTCCTCTCCGAGCCCCTGGTTTTTTTCCTGTGAAATGGGCACAAAAGAATAACTCTCTTCTGGAGTTGACATCCTTCAGTGGGATAATGTACATCAAACACTTGGCGGTGTGGGCAGTGCTGACAGGTGCTCAGTCAGTGGTAGTTATTAACCACAGTAGCGGTGATGTGTGTGTATGTCCAGCAAGTGTTCATTTAGTACAGCCACTATTAGGGAGGCTGTTTGTCCAGAAGATGTCCACTTCCAAGCTCCATTCCCCTGCTCTTCTCCTGCCCTGCTGTCCAGCTCAGGGAAGGGCTCTGTGCCCTTCAGGTCTCTGGATGCCGTGAGGTCTGGGATCTTAGGCTGCTAGTCCCATCTCCCAGGGCTTATTAATGGCTCTGGAATTCAGTTTACTCCATTTATAGGAATGTGTTTTTTTGTCAAAAGAAAGCTGTCTTTAATCTTGCATCCTCCTCCACCCTATCACCACACACAATGGATATCAAAAAATGGCCTCCCCAGAAAGCTGTGCTATGGGAAAGGGTCTCAGAATTGATGTGGATACACACCTGGCTGCCTTGCTGGCAGCACTCTCAGCCCACACTCTGCTGTTTTCTGTTTTGCCCCTGACTTTTGGCCTAGGAACAGTGAATTTTTTTCATGACCAAGGGTAGTCAGGAATCTGGGTATGGGAAAGCCCAAATTCTATAATTGCTGCTGCCTGAATCCCAGCTGAAGCTTTCACCCTGGCACCCTCTCTTAGATTATAGACAGTCACTTTGACAGCAGCAGCACACTGTGTAGATTAGACATTAGCCTCATAACAGAGAAGCAAGGTGGGGCTAACGATCAGTGTTTTTATAGCTTATGTATGATCACTGATACATGCTTAAATGAGAATATCAAAGTCTTATCTTTTATCCAAGGAAAAGTGCTCAGCATTTGGTCAAAATCTAAGATATAAATGTAGAATTTCAGGGAAAGTTCCTTACTTTTTACCATTTTGTTTTGAATTTTAGGCAAGAAATTAGAAAAGCTAAAATTTGCACTTACACTTTAATCATGCAGACACTATAGATGTTTTGCAAGTTTTCAGAAGTCCTGTTTCTTTCACGTTCTGGGAGAAGTCAGTGGAAAGGGGCCTCCTTTCATTTACCTACAGGGTCTGAACTTATCTCTGGAAAACCTCTTTGGCGCATCAAGTGTTCTTTGAGAGCAGGTGTTTCTTCCAAGCTTGATTCTTGTGGTAAGAAGTGAGTGGTCACTGGCATTTTAATTAATTGGTGGTTTTTACTCAGGGCTAGAACGTTTGTTCAAGCAAGGCTTCCTGGCTTGAACTCTCATTTAAATTTGCATTTTATCTGGAACTGCCACAGATTAAACTGTGAGCAGAGATTACTGTGCAGAGTTGGCCAAGGCCAGTTGGCCACCACTCCTCCCCTTTGCCATCCTCCTAATCTCTGGAGCCATTGAGCCAGTGGTGATGGTTCCATTCTTTTTTTTTTTTTTTTAAGAGACAGAGTCTCACTTTATTGCCCTCGGTAGAATGCCGTGGCATCACACAGCTCTCAGCAACCTCCAAATCCTGGGTTTAGGTGATTCTCTTGCCTTAGCCTCCCAAGTAGCTGGGACTACAGGCGCCCACCACGATGCCTGGCTATTTTTTTGTTGCAGTTTGGCTGGGGCCAGGTTTGAACCCGCCGCCCTCGGTATATGCAGCTGGCACTCCAGGTGCCACCCAGTGGTTCCATTCTTAGGGGATCTTTAATGGAGCACAATGCTCTGAGAAGGGATTTTTATCTTTTGAGGCAACAAGGCGATTTTGTATTATACTTCATTAAAATTGGTAGGTTACTCTATAGTACGGGGCAACTCTGGAATTTATTTCACTGAGTGGTCATTTTCTTCTAAATTTTAGGACACTATACAGAACTAGTAAATAAGTCAACATTAGGGTCCCGGTAATTCCAAAGTGAGTACCAGATTATGGCAGACTGATATTTTAATAAAATGTGAAGATTCATTACTCTTATATATTTGTTTCAGATTGTTGATGTCCCTTGCCTTTTGTTGTACCATTGCCATCATAGAGGTTAGGACAAGAAGAATTTGGAGAATATAGTCCCTTGATGGATATTTTCAGAGCCACATGCAACTGGGTAGGGCAATTCTATGTTGCTAAGAGAACTCCTTACATAGTAGAAGAGCTGTAAGCAGGTGATTTGCTTGGAGAATATTTGTGTTGTTCTAATTCCCAAAAGATTAAAGATCTAACGACTTCAGCTTCAGAACCTGCCGTGCTTTATTGTAGCACATTCCCAAATTGCTCTCTATGACCTCGAAACCAAACCTTCTGGAAGAAACTGGGTAGAAAGCTAGACTTTTCTTTGGTGATATCCTAACTTCTTACAATTCAGTCCTGGACTCCATTTCCCAAGATAGTGTTTTATATTTAACATGAAATTAGTCATGTTAATGATGTCAAGTCAAGATACGAGATCTGTAATGCATATCAGACAGGCAGGACTTAAATAGAAGAAACGATGGGTTTGGGGGTCAGAAGTAGGTTCAAACCCTTGGCTTCGTTCTTTCACTAACTGAGTGACCTCAACCAAGATATTTAACCTCCCCCAACCCTGTGTCCTCCTTTGTAAAATAGTTACAATAATTCTTTTTTTTTTTTTTTGAGACGGAGCCTCAAGCTATACCCCTGGATAGAATGCCATGGCATCACGCTCACAGCAACCTCCAACTCCTGGGCTCAAGCCAGTCTCCTGCCTCAGCCTCCCAAGTAGCTGGGAC